TTTAGTTGTAAATAATTAATTAAATTTGTTAAAAATAATATTGGAAAATTAAACAAACAATATTGTTTTTTTGTTTTTATTTGGGGTTAGGAATTATTGCTGTGTTTAAAAACACAATCTAAACGATCATCTTAATTACTTGTAATGCCCAAATCGAAAATGTAAAAAAAATATTATTTTCCCATAAATATTTAAAAATGCATCGAACCTTAAAAATCGAAATATCTCAAAAACGGCTAACTATAACGAAAACTCACAGGAGAGCTTTTTTATGTTGAAAAGTGCGAAGAATCATTTTTTTTTGTTCAAAAAGCAAAAACTTGCACTAAGAAAATTTTTTCGGTTATTTTAATACACTACAGGTGCAGTAGAGAGCGCCCTCTAGCGGCTACAGTAAAACTATGTCCATGGTTTGAGAATGCGGGCGTGTATTCGTAACAGGGGATTACAATTTGAGCAGAATCTGTAAAATACTAAAGGAAATGTAATTAAATAAAACTGTAATTAAAATAAAAGCCTTTTATTTATCCTACGTAATTATCGTTCGTACAACTTTACTCATCTTTTTTTAATTTTATGTTTTTATACTTGAGTTAGTTGTAACTTTTATACCTCAAATGAAAGCTTGCTAGATAGAGATATTATTTACATAATTTGCACATTTCATTACTAGGAGATTTTTTACAGAAAATTGCATTTTTTATCGAATAAGTTATTAGTTATTATAAAAACTCAAAATCAACCATGCAGTTTATTGTATTTCCATTTTAACCGTCTGGAATCGGTATAAAAAATAAAAAACTTAAAATTCAAATAACTCAAAAATGGTTAACTTTTGGATAAGACATGATAGGACAAAATCGGTTGCTTTTGACCCAATCTATCACCCCTTAACAGGAATACGTGACATTACAAGTCACCCTGTATACAATTTTAATATTCTCTTTGCGTCAGTATTTTATTCAAAAAGCTGAAGTAATGGACATATTAGAAACAATCTCTAAATATTTGCATGGACTAAATAGTAACGAAAACAAAAATTTAATAAATACCAGATTAAAAGCAGAATTTAACACTTGGACGTCACGTACACAAGATATTATAGACAGTGGAAAGTCACTGTATTTATCATGTGATAAAAACATTTTTCCTTAAATTAATATATGCCTACAATTATTGATTTCATTGCCGGTAAGTGTTGCGTCATCTGAAAGAAGTTTCTCCCATCTAAAGAGGATAAAAACTTGGCTGCGCTCCACTATCTTACAAGAGCGATTAGTGGGTTTAGCTCTTTTGTATATGCATATGAATATTAAAATAGACGTGAATACAATCATATATCGGTTCGCCAGCATAGACGCCTTAATTTTGTAATATGATAACACCTGAAATTTTCCTAAGGTTGTCTCTCAAATCCATCTCCCTCCTGTTGCCCAATAAATAAAAAAGCAGATGTAGTTAAGGGTTACTTACGTTTAAACCACCATGGTGATCTTTTCCAAAGTATTCAATCAAGATTTGTGGATTTATTTATTGGCCAGCAGATTGATATAAAGGTATGTTCAAATTCTGTTCAAATCACTTTCCAAGCTAACGTAATGATTGTTTTATTTTGAGACTGTGAACTGATGTAGTTTCATAGTTTATATGTTTTTGTTTTTTGAGACTGCTTTTAATATTAAATCATTATAACACTTCAGTACGTCACACTGAGAATTCGCTTTCCATTTTACCCCTCCCAGACTGAAATCCTGGGAGCGCCATCGTGGGTGCCTAGTATGCGGCCCTCCATGTACGCATTATGAACGCGTAGAAAAACGCGGTAGTCAGGATATACCGCATTTTTCTACCGTTGTGGTGCACCTCTTCTAACCACATAGTCCCGATACGTGCTAGCAGCTGCTCGAGCACTTCCTAGGGCAGCATCATGATAGTAGTGCATTTCTGCATAATCTCGCGGAGAATATGACATGATTCTACTCAGATACCAAACGTTAGATACAAATTCCGCGCTGGACCATTGGCTGACTTAGTAATTTCGGTCGGACCCAGCTCATTAAGCTGATTTGACTATTTGCATAAAAAAATCCACCATTTTTATTTTACAAAATGTTACTACATACAGTATTACTCGCACTGCTAGGACGAATCTAACAGTACCTCATATGTCAAAATCCATCAAGTCGTTTGGACTGTGTAACGGTTTCACCGTCCGATTGTATTTATTAAATCACTTCTCGATTTTCATTTCAGAATCGCAACTCATTAATCCCATCTCTAGCTTTTTTACTTGGAAACATTTCCGCTTGGAGCGCGCTTGATGCGGAGTTCCTGATCTGTGATCTTCCTCGCGCTTCTTTTTCACTTGAGCCGCCGATCTAACAAGAGCTGAGAATTTTGTTCTCTGTAGCATGAGGTCATATAGCACCATGTGCTAGCATTTTGTAAAATGTGTGTCTAAATGGGATAAAATGATTAGGACCACCCCATCTGCCTTTGCCTTTGTCTTTGACTTTGCCTTGCTTGGCCTATCACTTTGCCGTGCCTTCGCCCATGTATGTGCCTTGGCTGCGCCATCCTTGATGAAGATCACGTTTAAGTTCAACTTCACTGCATCCTTCGCCTACATCTAGTTTTGAAGCTACTAAATGTGAGGTCACCCCTCATAACTGGGACCTCCACTTGAAGCCCTTAGCCATCCTCGCTTCAGTCCAGTCAAAATGGACCAGCTTAGCGAAAGATAAGTCGATAGTTTTGTAACAGCGCCAAAGATTTAAAACTTTCATTTTGTTCTTTAAAATTGTAATGTAATGAAAATGCTTTTCTAGTTAAATAAAATCTGTTAAATTTTTGTGTTCTGTTTGTTCTTCTATGCCATGGTCGACACACAGCTACACGCCTGTAGATGTCTTCATGCCACCGACTGAGCTACCGGAAGCTAATGGTAACCCCCTTTCTGTGATTGTGCAGAAAAGTTGGAATCTTCATTGCATTCCATCTTTTCTGGACTTTTTGCAGAAAGGAAGCATTATAGCTCGTAAAATATACTAAGTGACATATAAATCCGAACACCCAGTTTAAATGGTTTTATTTTAATAAAAGTTGGTGAATGTATTTATCTTACTGTAAATAACAAGTGAAAAAATTTTCAGCCTTATCAGTTGGACATTCCGGTTTTTATACTGCTTTTTTTTAATTCATTAACGCTCTAAAAATGAATATTTCAGCAGCAGTAAAGAATCAACGTTGGCGGATTTTGGTTCTTGACATCCTTTACGATCGGTTACGATGCCTAGAGTACGGAGACCTGTACGATTTCGTCAACTTTGTGAGTTTGATAGGGGCCGTATAGTGGGACTTCGGGAAGCTGGACTTTCTTTTCGGGCAATTGCAGTTAGAATGCAAAGAAGTGTAGACACTGTGGTTAGGTGTTGTCAGGCATGGCTTCGAGAAGGCCGTACGCAAAGAGCAAGGGGCACTGGACGCCGCCGTAGAACAACAGACCGTGAAGATCGCCGCCTAAGATTATTGGCCTTAAGGGACCGTTTCTCCACTACCAGGTCCATTGCAAATGAATGGTTTGCAGAACACGGAAGACCTATTGGCATGCGAAGTGTTTACCGACGAATGAGAAGTTTTGGCTTGTTTTCATACCGGCCACACTGAGTCCTCCCTTTAACTCGAGAACACCGACGTAATCACCTTGAGTGGTGCAGACAACGGTCACTCTGGGATCAGGAATGGAAGTCTTTAGTGACCAGTCTCGATTTTGTTTAGACATGCACGATGGTCGTGTCAGGGTTAGAAGGCGACGTGGTGAAAGGAAGAATCCACAGTTTTTTGTTGAAAGACATGTTCATCATGTTGGAGTTATGGTTTGGGGTGCTATAGCTTATGGTTCCAGGTCACCTTTAATCTTCATCAGAGGTAACATGAACGCGCAGCGTTATATCCACGAGGTTCTAGAACCCCATCTTTTACCATATCTTGACACCCTGGCAGATCCAACTTTCCAACAAGATAATGCCCGACCACATGTTGCAAGAGTCACAATAGACTTCTTTCAACATAATGATGTCACATTGTTACCATGGCCACCAAGATCTCCCGACTTATCCCCAATTGAGCACGTGTAGGATATGATGGGTAGGAGATTTGCAACGTCCTCCTCAGACTCTAGAAGCACTTCGAGAGGAGTTGGTGGTTGCCTGGAATGAGATACCACAGGAGGACATTGACCACCTGATCAGAAGCATGCCTAGGCGCGTTGGAGAATGCGTAGCACATCAGGGTGTATCCACACATTATTAAAGGTCAAAGGGCTTTAAAGCAGTGCAATCATTTTGAAATTTTTATCATTTACTTATTATGCTTCATTAAGTACTTATACAAAATTTTATTAAAATAAAACCATTTAAACTGGGTGTTCGGATTTATATGTCACTTAGTATAGAATTTCTTGTTTACATGTGTAGATACACCCTGCGTCAAACGTACAGATTTTTTAAGGTGAAGCACGTAGCAAGCTGAAATTTTTAGGATCTTTCTACATGGATTGAAATAGTTTTAACAATAAAATGAACACTGAAATACAACCTCAATTTTCTTTACTGCCCTCCAAAGTTGAGGGATGGAAGAGATTTTTCACAAAAAAACGAATTTAAGATTTTTTGCGTTGATTTCTAATTAGCTCTGTTAAAAAGTGACATAACCATTACTGAAACTAACCGTTCAGCTCATCTCAAAAAAGTTCATTAACATTTTTTATGAAATTTCACAAAATCGCAAATATCTCCTGAACTATAAAATTTTGGACCACACATATGGGGGTTCATTCGATAGGTCTTGAGGCCCTCTATCATCTGACTATCGTTTATCCACTACTTACTTTAGACCCTGTATATATTTAAAGAAAATAGTCTGGCGAATTTCTGAAAATGCCCATTATATTAAAAATCTCTTGCACACGTACCAAATTATATCATTCATGAACTTTCCAGATATTTGATGCAGTGGAGAACATAATTGGCAACAGTATCAAACAACGGTATAACTCATGTGTGCTGGCATATGGACAGTCATCGTCTGGAAAGACACACACCATGATGGGAGTACCAGGAAATCCAGGACTTACTCCGCGTTTATGTGAAAAAGTGTTCGATTATCTAAGAGAAACAGCAGTTGGAGAGGAGATGAATGATCTGAAGGTGACCGTCAGGTGAGGAGCTCTATAGGGAAACTAACATACAGCACCTGAAAGAATTCCGTTATCCCTTACCGTTCGTTTGTTTGTTTGTAGCTCCTTTTTACTTTCCACGCCTACTGTCGAGGCAGTATTGTAATCACGTAACATATCGGAAATACGTTTTTACTTCCTACGCAATAGGTGGCAGGAAATATTGTAATCGCGAAAAATTTCGAAAATGAGATACTTCCATAGGTTTGTCTGTCAGTTTGTCTGACCGCTAGTCCTTGACCCAGCTATAACTTGGAAAGTACCGGTCCGATTTTGATAAAATTTCTACACAAGGCCAAACATGCTTTATAGTTTTTGAAAATTAATACAGTTGCGACGGAGGTAGCGGCAAAAGAAGTAAAAAACTAAAACCGTTCATTCCAGAGGATCCTCATCATTTTTCAAAAATGTTTAGGGGTAAAAAAATGGGGGTTGGATATTGTATTGTAGAGAAGGGGATATACCCATTATCCACCGTATATTTATTCTTAAAACTCTTGGAGAAATATTCTGGAGTGCACAAATATAGCTCCACCAACTGTTGTCGTTTTTTCTCTAGCCGGTTTAAATAAAACTTTATATAGCTTACGTGGGTGAATTAAACATCCCCGTAATGAAATTACAATTGAACGCTTCTGTTGGCGCTATAGTTATTCTCTCGAGCTTATTTCCTACCCTCACGTGTCGACAGCATGCTTTGCAGTTCGGCGTACGAAAGTCGCTGTTGCATAGCGCATCGGCCTGATCGACCTCGGGTCTCGACTAGGGGAACTGAAGGCATAATGGATAGTTAAGGAAAATCGTTTATTTTCGTAAAAAATAAAATATTTATTTCCATATATTATCAACAGTACAAGAAAAAATATATGTTCTTTCCGAATTATAACTGAACATTTATGTATATTAACATTTATTTCATAAATGTAGCAAAAATTATCTAGAACGATATTGGGCCATTTTGTCCTCATATGAAGGTAAAATGGTATCCTAAAGAAGGCAAAATGGCTCAGGCTGGAAACCATTCAAATCTAAAGAATATCTTAACTAATATTACAAAAAAAGTAAAATAAAACTTTACTCTTTCACTTAAATATAGAATCACTTGGAGTTCAATTGAGTCATTTTGCCTACATAAAAATACTATGATAATGTTTATTAAATCGGTCCATGACTTTTCAATAAAAAAAATAACTTAAATATTACTCTAAGGGCCGATTTCACCAACATTAATATTATGGACCAATAGGAAAATACCTTATCGAAATGCAATTTGACGGAAGCTGTCAAAGGTCTCAGAATATCAGTGATTTCTATTAAGATGTTGAATAAAATCGTGAAAATTCGACTGTATTATAAACAAGACCACTTTTTGATTTCAACATGATGCTTTTGTACAGACAAAACAGGACAACTTTCATGTATTTTGATTTACGTTATAGGTGTACATTTGACCATCCGTTATCCCCTCAGCGAATGGGAATGGGAGAAATAATAGGTCGATTTTCTAGCTGTTAAATTTGGCAACAGGTTTGGTCGTTTGTTAATTCATGGCAATCTCGAAATTTGTTCAATATACTGTGAGTATATGTGATCATTATAGCTACACATACCTGTTGAATTGTGCGGATTTGCAAGAAAATAGAATATAAAATGTATTCCAACCAATTCCTCATCTATCTTTACAACATAATAGTAATCATTTGTTATAAATTCATGGGTTAATGAATTTCTTCAAAGCAATCAAAACAGTATGGTCGTCCCCATCCTAAAACACCGATATGTGTAAAACATGTTAATCCCTACATCTCCGAGGTGCATAATGCAATTACTGTAGACATAGACCTAAAATTATTAGCAATTACTGAAAAATAAGAGCTAAAAAGAATGATAAATAGTGATAAAATATTGGTGGTTAAGGTTTGACTGGTGACTGGTGGGGATACAATATAGGCATGGCGACGATAGACGATACATTGATGTATCGAAAACATCGATACACTGGACGTAGAACATCGATCTTTACGCATCGATGGTTTCATGACGATATATCGATATCGAGAGGAATCATAATCATCCGTAACCGTATACCCCGAGTCTATTCTTAACTGTGCTACCATCTCCAAGCGAGAACTGGTAGCTTCGAAATTGAAAGGCCAGAAAGCTATTTAGGTGTTTAGTAGTATTTGAATATCATCATTGCCGACGAGCACTCTTTTCTTCATTCTGTACTTCCCCAAGGGATAGAATAAAATAGACTGAAAACAGCGCGTTTAATGATTTTCAGTTCTCAGAGAAAGATTTTCCCCTGCCGGCCCTTGACATCGTTTCGAAATATGAAATTCTGGAAACGCTATAAAAATAAAAAAGAATACACAAAGCCTACTTACCTATTCCAGACAAAAACAAAAACAACTGCCACATAACGATTGTCACCTTGATATCATTCTGCAATCTGTCAAGGTAGTGATGGCCGTGCCTGCTGCACGGTATGCGGTATCGATATTCGATAAAATATTTTTCTTTCTACAATGAATGCGTGGAAAAAACAAAAAATAAGGAGAGATCTAAGATAAGGAGTTATTGAAGGACTAAAATAGCCAGGCGCTAATAATTTCTGGCCGTATTTGAATATATAAGCAGGCACAGTAAAACAAAAATAAGTCTTGGAATTGATAAAGTTTATTTCGACAGTTGGCAGAGTTTGCTCCACTGGGACGAAGTGTTGACGGATCCCACAGAATTATGTGTCACTTGTCGATATGGTTAGTTTTAAAATATCAGGAGATAATCAGCTGTTATTCAAATGAGTGTAATTCTTCTTTAACAAGTTTTTCATAAAATTTAGTGTTTTCAATTACACCTCCATCCGAAACACGACCATTTGTGCCCATATGACACAAATTATTTGGTAATTGGAAAATTCCAAAGGGACAATTTCAGTCTGGAGGACGCTGAGAGGGAAGGAAGGCCGTGAACGTCAGTAACAGATGAAAACATTGATGCTGTGAGGAAAATGCTTGACGAAGACATACCAACAGAGGAAACCTTACACATTCATGCACCAGCAATTTATACAATTCTGGATGACCATTTACACATAAGGAAACTTCTTTCTGGGTACCGCATAGTCGTAGGACTTGGTGCCGAAAGATGTTGAGAGTGTTTGCTAAGGGGCAATCTCGGTATGTGAACAGCATCGTGACATGAGACGAAAGTTTAGCTTTAGCTCTATTATTACGATGTGCCGACCAAGGCTCAAAACAAAGTTTAGGTCTTTGATAATGAGGACACACCCGTAGCTGTCAAAAAATCCCGATCTGTTAAGAATGTTTCGCAATGGTAGATGGCGCATTGCGCTGTCTTATTCCGAGCGTTTATGATGTTTTGCATTCATTAATCTCTAGTTGCTTTAAGGTGAGAACTAAGCTATTCTCAACTCGCGAAAATCAAAGCATGAGAAACGCAAAAGTTGATTTGTTCAATTCCATTTTTCTTATATATGACACACAAGGGTGAATAGAAAAAAGTATGAATGTGCGTGTCGATGTATAATCCCGGAATAAGGTGCCCTCCAACAGAGCGCCACACGCATTTATATATTCATTGGCGTAGATGGGTGTAGTGTATTTACTGACACCGGCGGGCCGTTGGTGATCTAGCTGTCTTCTACCGCTACACTAACGAACTTTGCTCCTCAGAGCTCTCTTCCATGATGCCTCCGCACGATGTGGCTGCCAGACACACCCGCCCGACTTTGGCCTTCCATCCTAACCGTATCGAACTTCGTACATTCAGAACTGGCCGATAGGACCACTCCTTTGTCCTGAGGGTTTCGAGATTGTGGAACGATCTACAAGAGGAAGCTTTTGCCAGTTATACCTTAGGCAGTTCAAAGATCGAATTAACAAAATTTGTTTGGGATCCCGGCATTTAGGCTTCTGCCAGCGCGGTTGCTTCTATATAAAAAAATATGATCAATTAAAACTAAAAACTCTGCTTTTAGACGGAAAATGTTTCAGCTTATGCATAGCTCCATAACGTTAGGATTTGCAGCTGAAAAAAATTTACCAAACGATGAAACAAAAAAAGATAGAAAGGTAGGAATGCCCACGTGTTGTCATGTAGTCATCGATTGAGAGCCTAAAAAGGAGCCACACTAACAGACTTAATTTTAATGTATCAGAGGTGTCCTCAAAGTTGAGACTTGCCTTTACAGGACATATACATGGAAAAACAGTAGTTTTTGCTAGTAGCATATACACCAAGGTCTTAAGACCACCGAGGTGTTAGGCTCCGCAAAATACATCCAACTTTAACAAAACCTAATCCGGTCCTGCACGTCGGTCAGATCAAACGGGAAGACGTACGATGACCATCATTACTGAATCCAGGCGATGGCTGCGTTGGTAAACAAAATCTTTACACATCGGTTCTAAAAAACAAAACAAATGTGGCACACTCATACATAAGTATCGGAATTGTCTATATTATTTTAATTTATGGTGAGTATCTTCAAAATGATTTATTTTTTTGTATGGGGTGAAATTGAATGTTTAGCGAATAAAATAGGGTTGAAGAACTACCTGTGCGGAAATGAACTGGGGAATGAAGCATACGTAAATGTTTTGGCTTTTTACCATGGTTATTAGACTTATGATAACCTATAGATCTGTAGCTTGGTGGGGCACGACAACACAAAGAACTGTTCAATCGCAACACAGAGAGAGGCTTGTATGTTGAGCACTGGGCCTTTCGTACGACACCAACTGCAGCTATCGAGGTCATTCTTAATTTACCCACCTTGCACATATACCTGGAAGGCTAGGTAAGAAGGACATCTTATAGACTACAATTCGTTGATTCCCAAAGTGGTCTATATCGACCCCTAGGGGTCTATGACAACCTGCAAGGGGTCTACGTCAGCGAAAAAAATTTGGGGGTCCATGAAATGAATATGGGGGTCCACGATAGTGGATCTCAAC